CCAGAGGACTGGAAAAGGGCCAATGTGGTCCCTATTTTCCAGAAGGGGAGGAAGGAAGATCCAAGTAATTATAGGCCTGTCAGCATCACCTCTATCCTTGGAAAAGTTTTTGAAAAGATTATGAAGGATCATCATATTTGTGGGAGTCTAGCGGGAAAAATAATGCAGCAGGGAAACCAGCACAGATTTGTAGCAGGTAGATCATGCCTGACCAATCTGGTTTCATTTTACGACAGGGTCACAAAACGCTTAGACACAGGAATAGAGGTAGATGTCGTTTTCATAGACTTTAGCAAGGCCTTCGATACAGTATCTCATCCTATTCTCATAAATAAATTCAGAGACTGTGACATAGATGTTTACACATCCGGTGGGTGACAGATTGGCTTAGCGGTCGCACCCAGAGAGTGGCAGTAGATGGGTCAGTATCGACATGGAAGGATGTGGGTAGTGGGGTCCCTCAAGGTTCAGTCCTTCGACCTGTACTCTTCAATATCTTCATCAGTGGACTTCGATGTGGGTGTGAAGTGTACTCTGTCCAAGTTTGCGGATGATACTAAATTGTGGGGTGAAGTGCACACTCCAAAGGGTAGGGAACAAAATTGCAGGAAGACCTGGACAGGTTGGAAAAGTGGGCAGTACACAATAGGATGCAGTACAAGTGTAGAGTCCTGCACGTAGGATGCAAAAAATATCCAGCACACCTACTGGCAGGAAAGTGACCCTTTCAGCAGCACAGAAGCAGAAAGGGATCTTGGAGTCATAGTGGACTCCAAGATGAACACGAGTCGTCAGTGTGACAAAATGATCAGCAAAGCTAACTGCACTTTATCATGCATCAGCAGATGCATGACAAATAGATCCAAGGAGGCAATATGTCCCCTCTATACGGCATTGGTCAGACCACAGTTCGAGTACTGCGTCCAGTTTTGGGTGCCGTACTTCAAGGATGTTGATAGACTCAAGAGGGTCCAGAAGAGGATCACTCATATGGTTAGGGGCTTACAGGACAAGCTCTATGAGGAGAGACTGAAGAACCTAAACCTCTTCAGCCTCCGCAAGAGAAGGCCAAGAGGTGATCTTGTGGCTGCCTACAAATTCATTAGGGGGATGCAGCAAGGGATCAGAGATGCTCTCTTCATCATGGCGCCTCTTGGGGTAACAAGAACCAATGGTCACAAACTGACAGAGAGCAGTTTAGGCTAGATATCAGGAAAAACTCCACAGTAAGAGTGGCCAAAATTTGGAATGGGCTTCCAAGGGAGGTGGTGCTCTCCCCTACCTTGGGGTCTTTAAGAGAAAGCTGGATAGGCATCTGGCTGGGATCATCTGACCCCAGCGCTCTATCCTGCCTAGGCCCTTCTGACCCTAGCATCTATGAATCTCCAAAAAGCCACTAGAACCCAGTGACGTTTGGTCACTATACTAGTACGGTCTAAATTTGAACTAGGAACCTTGACTACAAACAAACAGCTCAGGATCCACAAACAATCCATTAAACTGCTCTAGTCTTCCATCCATAGTAGTGTAAAGTTCCATTGTTGCAGATCACTGCCCACAAACCCCTCACTCTGCACTTGTCTGAAGTGGAACCAATGCAAACTGGCAGTAAAAGAGGGTGCAAGTTTTGTAATGCTATATATACACACATTCCACGTGGTCCCACCACGTCCCAAAATAATGTGAGGGGAGTGAAACCAGGAATGCAGATCCAATGGCCTTACTCATAATGAAAGAATATGGACACAAGTTCCACAGTTACTCCTATAACCCATGATATTCTGCCACCTTTGCTTCTCCAAACCGAATTTGCACAGTCCCAGGTACCCAGGGGGTGTTTGTAAGGCACACAAGGAGCCCCTTTGGACACAGGCATAACCTGGTGTTTTTGTGGCTAGGGTGGCAATAGTGGCAGCTGCTATTTTTGCAGCTTGAGTTGGTGCCCAGGAATACTTGGACCAGCAGTTTTCAGCTTTTTTTTCCATTTGTGGACCCCTAAAAATATGAAGAGGTGCATAAACCCTTTGGAAATTTCAGATGGAGGTGGGGACCCCTTTAATTGCAAGTCATCTTTCGCAGACTGCTTAGACAGTCTGCAGACCCCCCACGGGTCCACAGACCACATGTTGAAAACCACTGGTTTAGACTACTGCCTTTGGGTGCTCCTTAAAAATAGCCAAGGAGGTTGCTGCACAATAGGAGGAATCTCCAAGTTCAGATTGTGGTTGCACCTAATAAGTAAGCCAGAGCTTGGTGCAGTTTGTGTTAAGAAAATTAAATTCTCTCTCAAAAAAACCAAAATAGAGAAAATTCTGATAACTTTCCCGGCAGCAGCAGCAGCTGCTGCCACCTTCTTGCAAAACACTTTAACACACAAAACACCTTACTCTTTATAAGGCCAACAAGCCATCACTTCAGAAGGAACAGGAAAGACATACTAAAAGCAACATGAGTTTTATTCAACAGCAGCTTTCACTATAGTAGGAAACACATGAATCCTAAACCGGTGACTGCAGACAAAAGCTGGGTTCACTGCAAGTGTCCATTGAACAGAGTGGAGAGAGTACCTGGCTCAGGAGACAGGCTGTGGGTTATGCAGTTGCTCAGACTTACACTCCCCTTGCTTCAGACAGATGAGGTTTGTACTAAACGACATATTGAGCTTTATGGGCAAGCGCCCTGCTTCTCTCACATACCAGAGTCCCTATTAGCTGAGGCACAGGGCAGGTGAAGGAAGGGAGCTCCTATAGGTCTCCTCGTATAGCAAGCTGACAAGTTCATCTCCTTTGGTTTCTCTTCAGCTCATAAATCTCTCTCCTTTCCTAGATTTCTGTGAAGAGGAACATTTACAAGTTTTCAGCCAGTTTGGCACTTGACAGAAAAAGAAGCAACGGTCAAGTTACAGCAAGGGAAGTTTAGGTTAGATATTAAGAAGTATTTTCTCACTAGGGGAGTAATAAAACACTGGAACAGGTTACCTAGAGAGGTGGTGGAGGCTCCATCCTTGGAGGTGTTCAAAACCCGAAAGCTTGGGCTCGGATGATCTAGTTGGGGATGGTCCTGCTTTGAGTGGGCGCTTGATGACCTCCGGAGGTCCCTTCCAATCTTAACTTTCTAGGATTTCACTGAGTCCTAACAAGTCCATCACACATTTGAGTTTGAGTCAAATAGAGGGATAAGAAGGAATTAGCTCATCCAGCCACTGAAGTGAAATTCTGCATAGGTTTCTTTCTATTAGCTGCTCTAGAAATCTAAACAGTGCAGGTCCATCCGGAAACAACAAGAGAACAAATCAGCCATCAAACAAGAACTGGCACAAGGAGTAAAAAACTCAGAGTGATCTTCAGGGCTAGTGTTACTAAGCCTCTATTATTATATTTGCTGAGTTCCCAGATGGTACGAGCCAACTGTGCTTAAGAGTGCCATCAGGCTGTGCACTTTGGCAACTACCATACAGCAGCTCTTCCCTTTGTTCTCGTTTGTAATGGCTACCTTAACAAAAAGACCAAGTGCTTAGAAAATACCTCATTGTAAGTGGCCAACTCTTTTTTAACCTTCCAGTACAATTAAAGAGTGACATTGTCCTCAATTACAGTAGAACTCCAACATTAAAAGCAACGCTGTCCAATTTCTAGGCAGCCAGGGCCACCTGCAGTGCAGGCCACAGCCCAGAAGAGCCAGGCCCCCTTTCAAGGGCAGCCCCGCTCTCTCCCTCCATACAGGCAGCTCCTCAGGCCCACATGTAATGCAGGAAGCCCACCTTTAGCTTGCACCAAAGGCAACCTGGCTCTCTCTCCCACTGCTCATGCAGCATAAACAGCCTAACGCCCTTCCCACTGCGCTGCCCCACCCCTAGGAGTGGGGGTGGGAGCTGGAAGCAGGAACCTGGAGGTCCAGGCTGCTGCCACAAGAGCAAGTGGGCAGAGTGGCAGCTAGCAGTAATGCATGAGCTGATGGTTGGACAATCCTACATTCAAAGAACAACGGAAAAAAATTCAGGCATTACTGAAGTCATTGGAAGTTTTGTTGACTACATCAGCAGAGCCAGGATTCACCCAATGAATCCAGAAGGTCCAAAATGCATACACAGGCACATGGTCTAATGTGAACTATTTGGCTTGAAAGCAGACAACAAAGAACACTAATGCAGAGCACTGTGGTGTGCTTGCTGTAAGAAAACAGTAGCCTCTGCTGTGCTAGGGTTGTATTTTATTGCCCAAAAGAAAAATCAGGAGAAAGAGGCTAGTTTCTTTGTTTTGTTTTTAAGTTGCTTGCCAATCACAGGAGAGAGGCTACATTTAGTTGCATGAAAGAGTCCTAATTAGAAATGGACATACAAAATTTAATGGTTTTGGTTTAAAATACATTTTCAATTATACAATTAAACAACAGCAGCGAAGACGGGAAAAAAAAATCAGTTTCATAAAACGTGCACACAACGGTGCTGCTATTTAAGACCCGTGTCCCAGTGTACTTTAATAGAAAACAATCAGCAATTCAGTTCACATACTTCATTAACAGTAAAAAGAAATAATTGTTCATGTCAATCCTACCTTTACAGAAGCTCTAAATCTACTTCCCTAACCCAAGACTGAATTCCTGTAATAAAGCTTCCATTTTCAATAAAAAAGAAAAAAAAGGAGTATATACTTGTATTTCTACGGGTGTATAAAAATTCTCACCACAGTAGCATTCCTCCCATGTAAATTAATGGCTGGAAGCTTAGATTTCAGTAACATTCTTGCCGTACATCAGGCTTCTGTTTTATTCTTACACTGAGGACTGGTTCAAGGAGATGGCCATGTGTGCAGTCGCACCCATACATGCGCCCGCTGCACTCCATGAATGCTTCTTCCTTTAGGGTTTCAGTTGTATCAGCTGCTTGCAGTCATTTAGGGCTTTTATATATGTGCTGCAGGAGTGGCAAGGGGTGGGGAGCCTCTGAGAGCTGCTCTAATTAAAGTCCCCAGAGCATCATGTGCATCAGCATCCCCCCACTGAAAAATGGCAGCGGGGCGCTTTAACTAAAGCTTGTCAAATGAGCTTTAGTTAAAGTATCCCTGCCGCCATTTTTTACCGAGGGGATGCTGCTACACGATGCTGGAGTCTGCTGGAGTGGCAATTCCCAAGCTCCAGCAGACTCTATTAATCAAGTAAATTGCTGTAATTACAGCACGTCGGAGCAACCTTGCTGCACGCATATAGGTGCCCTTAGACTCCAACACAGAGCATGCAGCACTTAGCAATCCCAAAGAGGTTTTCACACAGTGCAGAGAGATACACAATGTACAGTACGTCAGCAAATCTCAGTACCCATGCTGAACTGAGCTGTAAGGCATTAGTGATCAAAGTAGGCCTGGTGTGGGGAGGCAACAAATTGTCAGAGATCAAAGCCCCTAAAAAAAATAAATGTAATTTAGTGCACATCAGGAATTGAAAACCCTAAACAACTGTCCTTGCTACCAGTTGATAGCTGCTTCTGTCCCAGGCTGCCTCTGCTCAGTTTCTTCTCTCAGTGGTTTGATGCCTCATGGTGCACATTGAGCAAGATGCCCATGCCAGCCTGCACTCCCCACTGTGGTGCCCTGCTGATGTTTTAGCCTCATCCCAACACCCCACCCTTTGTGCACCTGCACAGTCAAGTTTTCAGGATTATAGGAACCATCAGACTATCAGACCATCTAGTGGTCCATGTAGTCCAGGATTCTGTCTTTGGCCAGCACCAGATTCAGAGGAAGGCACAAGAAATCTTAAAAGTAGGCAGCTACAGAATAATGCACCCATAGGGGAAATTTCTCCCTAATCTCCAAGAGATTGCCCGATGCCCAGAAACACAGGCCTTGGAACTCTGCCTTCACAGGTGACTGGTGCTCAGCTCCTCCTAGGATCAGGCTGTCTACAGAAGATACACCAAAGTCATTGCAGGTGGAGAGCACTAGCAAAATAGGCAAGGGAAAACTAATCACAGAAGCCCAAGCCACCACACCTCACTGCCCAGAAGGGACTACTGTAGAGCAGGTGTCATTCATTGCTTTGGTTTAGGAAAACCCTCTCCAAACTCATTATTTGTGCATTTTATGAACATAAAACATATGTTCAGTTTTGGTGCATATTAGGGTTTTTTTTTTTTAAATAACTAGATTAAAAAACTGCTTTCCTGTGTATGGTATCCTTTTAGGTGGGCCTCATTGCGTATATACACAAACACCATCTTTTATATATAATCTATATATTATATATATGATTCATATGTACACATTTACAAACCTTCAAAAATATATTGCACTTATATACAATACAGCTTCATCTCAAATGAGTTCACACAGTAACTTGAGGGAGTTCTTCATAAGCAAGGCAGTTTTACATTTTTAAAGAATTAAAGAGGCAATTTCAGCAACGTCCCTTGGTCAGCAGTAAACATCATGGAGTCTCATCTCCAAAACCCGCATGCAAGTCCCATTAGCATCAATGGGAGTTATGCAGCTGTATCTAGCAGAGAACAGTCCAGGAAAACACTATTAGGCAATAGCAGGCCGAAATGAATATTGAGTCGATAAATAGAATACAAGAGCCATATTACAGGGCTTCCCCCTCCCCCATTCGCTAATGCTTTATACGCACTCTTTCATACCTGATCTTGTTGATCCCTCATGTCAAGTACACTGATCTAGTGAGCATTATTTTGTCCTTTGGGAAGAACAGAAACACAAGTGTATTTATTTCCTTAAACAAAAACAAAAACGATGCTCCAGTCTCTGGAAGAACTCTACTCTCTCAGTTTCTTCTAGAGAAAGCGATTAGTGTTTTACCCTGCCGACTAAATTATGGAAAAGTGTTCATTTGAGACCTTCATTTTAAATTCTCAGGAGGGTCAATAGGGTTAGTCTTAGATCTCAGTGAGAGTGAGCTTATAAGATCCTCCAGCTTCTTCAATCTGTAACTGGAAGGTGTCTTCATTAGAATAGTGCTTCACAATGTTATCATCCATGTTGACCAGGATTCTGGGAAAGTAAAGCAGGGAAGTTATCGCAGGTCAAAATGCCAAAAGCATAAAAGTGTTATTTATTCAGTTAAAAACATGCTTGGATTGTCCAAAATTAACACAAATCTCTAACTCACTCCTGATTCTTTTCATCCTGGTTTAACTGATTTAACCCTGGCTTAGAAGTTGCCCACAAACTGTTGCCCATGCTATACAAGAACTTTAAGGCCATTTTATGGGACAAGGCAGTGCCTGGAAATCCTTTTAAGGGTGATGTGAGGTACTATGCAATGCTACCACTATTAGGTGCGCAAACATGATTCACAAGTAAAACCAGAGATTTCAAAATAGGAATCTGTAATGTTAAAAAACACACCAGTTACGGTCTGAGTTCTTTACAACAGAAGAATTGCTCTATTATGTGTTTCTATAGTCAACAAACAATTTAAAGTTAAGAGCTGCCATTTTCCAAAAGAGTGCCTCGAATCGAACGAAGGGTGCCTCACGTCTAAAGCTGGTTGAGAACCACTGGTCTATTGTATATACCCAAGGTTAACTGTGCCTCAACAGATGGTCTACTTATCAAGACAAGACCTTCAATTCACCGTCTTTACATTTAGTTCTGCTTTAGTAAATTCCACTCATGCGAGCACGTACAGTAATTAAAGATTCAATTCTCTGGCCAGTTCTGCTGATCACAATTCATGAAGGACACTGATAAACTGAAGAGGGCTGAGAATGATTAACAGATTGAAAACTGACTGGAAAGGATCTAGGGGCAAGAGACAGATGATCAAGGGGTTGGAAGGCAAGCCATACGAAGAAAGTTTGAAGGAATTTGTTAGGTTTAGCTTGGAGAAAAGGGGATTAAAGCAGGGACATAATAGCTATTCTCCTAGATTTGAATGGCTTCCATAAAAGAAAGAGCGATTGCTTTTCCCTTGACACAGAGGACAAGACAACAGGCAAGAGAGCAGATTTAGATTAGATTTCAGGAAAAAGATGGTTTCAACCCTAAGAACAGTAGGACCAGCAGCACAAGGATGTAGTCAGGTACCTGGGGCACAGGGGCAGCAGCAGCTTCTGGTTGCTGCCACAACAGCAATTGCACGGCTTCTGGCAGTGGCCACTCTTTTGTCGTTATCTGAGGCTACCCAGGTCGGTGTCTGAGGCAGTTGCCCCATTCACCCCACCCACACTCCATCATTGTGTAGGGCAATGGAAGAAGCTGCCTAGGGAAGTTGTGGAACCCTCCATCTTTCTGGAACAGTTTAAGAACAGCGAATCCTGTATCACTGCAAGGGATTTAAACTACATGGCTCTTAAGGCCCCTTCCAATCTAATTTCATGAAAACATGACTTAGAGTGACAGATTCAAGGAGCTGAAATCTATTTAAGGTTGAGTAGTGACTGAATATAAGGCTACAAATATCCTCATGGATGACAACAGAGGGATCTTCAGTTTAATAGGCTTATGTAAAACAAGTTCTTATGATTGGACCTTGAAACTAAATCAGAAATGAAGTTCCAATTTTTAATAGAGAGAGTAAAGTAACCAGTGGAACAAATTATCACTGTTTGAGGAGTTGTCTACCTCTGGAACTTCTAAAACAAAGCCGGAATATTTCTTGAGATGTGCTCTAGTCCAAACAGGAAGAAACTGCTAGGGCCAGCGTTATACTGGATGATCACAGTAGTCCCTTCTAGTCATACAATTGAGGACTCATGCACACAGATCACACAAGTACTAAATTTGTTCCAAAACTTGTGCTCAGGGATCTGTGGAGGGGGCTTATGAAGGGACATATGAAGCATAGATTTATCTGAAGATCTGACAGCAAATGTAGGAAGTCACATTTTTTCTGTGAAATTTGCTGCAGATGCCCTATAATCAGTACTTACCCTTTTTTACACTTCTTGAAGATTTTTCCAATTTTATCAAAAGGAACGTCATACTTATCCGATATCTAAAACATAAAGAGTAAATACAATCCTTAAACCAGGAAGACTATAGAAGACTTTCACTTTTACTCAAAAAAGGAGTGATAAAAAGGACATAACAATCAAACAGAAGCCCTGCCTTTTAGGTTTGAAGCTGAGGGCCAGATGGTACTCCCACTATTAAATGTTTAAGTGGACTCACATGCCTAAGTGAGATCCTGTTCCATTGTCTGAGCCCCTGAAAACTGGTTAACACAAAGTAGATAGGTCTTTCTTTTGCTTGCTGCTTTTGAAAACTTGCCTTATGGCAGATGACAGCACTTTACAAAAATAGGTGTACTGACTAAGGAGAATAGTTGGGGAAGCACTGAGGTCCTGGACAGCAGGGGAGCCAGGTGTCCAAGAAGAGTGGTTGCTCCTTAAGGAGACGATCCTCCAAGCCCAAAGGGAGGTAATCCCAACACGGATCAAAGGGAGCAGGAGGACACAAAAGCCCCCATGGCTCACCAAAAGCATCTGGGAATGTCTCCTAGCAAAAAGGGAGGCGTACACCCAATGGAAGGGAGGGGCCATCACCAGGGATGACTGTACTGCAGTTGCTCGGGGATGTAGAGGGGCAGTCAGGAAGGCCAAGGGGAAGATGGAACTGGGACTAGCTTCCCAGATCATGGACAACAAGAAGTCCTTTTTTAAATACATAGGGGGCAAAAAGAAGGTACTGGGTAATGTGGGGCCCCTGCAAGACACGCTAGGAAATTTGGTCGTCACACCAGATGACAAAGCTAACCTATTTAACAACTTCTTTGCCTCCATTTTCCTGAGCAG